AACACGTGAAATTCCCCTCTACAGATCACACAGAGAGCTGGCATGTGAGGGAGAAAATCTCCTGTCCAAAGCAAGGAGCATCTTCCTCCCTCAGCCCCTGCGCACCCTTCCCTTCAAGGTCCAGGAGTCCCCAGACGCACACAGCCACACAGTCGGCTCGTTCCCCTCACCGAGGCCTGCTTTACCTGAGTCAGCGGGTGGTGACAGCTGTGCACTTGGAATAAGGGCTGTCTGCCCATGAAAGCATGGGGGTGGCAGAGGGAACAAGGAACCCCCCAGCGGGGCCAAGTCTGCATCCTTGGAAGGACACATGCAGAGGAAGGGGAACTCCACAAAATGAGGAGGTTGGTGAAACAGAAATTAAAAGGCACAGTGACAAAAGTAAAATCCCTGCGAGATGCATGGAAATGTTTCAAAGACACCATAATAGAGGCCCCACTTAAATGTATACCCCAAATTAAAAAACACAGTAAGAGAACCAAAAAAGTGCCACTGTGGCTTAGCAACCAAATACAAGAAGCAGTGAGAGATAAAAAGGCATGGTTTAAGAAGTGGAAGTTTAGTCCTAGTGTGGAAAATAGAAAGCAGCATAAACTCTGTCAAATGAAGCAGAAAGGCCAAAAAGAATTTGAACAGCTAGCCAAAAACACAACGAGCAATAGCACATTTTGAAGGCTGTGTCTACACTACAAAGGAAAGTCAAAAAAAGATACGACTTTTCCTCTGAAAAAGGCTTTTCCAACATTTGGCCCATCCACACGGGGATGGGCCAAATGCCTTCCGCCTTCCACATGCCTTCCGCCTTGTGGAACGAGGTTTACAGGGATGCTGAAAGAACGCGTCTGCTTTTCCGATATTTTTTTTCAGAACCGCAGTTGCGTTCCTCGGAGGTGGCAGAGCTTTTCTGGGCTATTTAAGTGCGGATTTGAATCCCTCTGGTTGCAATACATGATTTCAAATAGCGTTTTCAGGGGGTGTAAGGAAGCACCACACCTCTGCACACCGCCACTCGCAAGGATGCCGGGGGGTTATTTCAAGTGGTGCTCGTGGTGGGGACGCTGTGCTAACTCACTGGTGCCCAAACTCCAAACCATGCTGCAGAACCACACCCGACTCTGCCAGCCCAGGCCCGCTCCTCCCTTTACTCTGCCTGGGCTGGGAACCAGCCTCCTGCTGTCAGTTACAATCAAGCAGGAAGAAAAAGGGGAAATACGCCTGCTTCCAGCTCCTGCTCCTGACTCCTCCACTCCAGAGCAATGCTATCCTGCCCCTGGGCTGTGCAGCTAACTGGCGATGGAGGAGACAGACACAGAAAACTGAGATCGAGTTTCGCCCTCAACAACAAGCAAGTAGATAAAAGGATCCATGCACTGCTGAGATGTAAACAGTTGACTGATTTCAAGAGTAGAGCCTGTCTCTCGATAAAGCAGGGCAGAGCTTGGGGGAGGGGCTTTACATTTATTCCTCAGGATTAGAGGAATCTAGTCTAGAGAAAATCATAGACACACAACAGGCACACACGCGCGCGCTAAGCCTACGTCTAGACTGCAGGCTTCTTTCAGAAGAAGCTTTTCCGGGTCGAGATCTTCGAAAAAGTCTTCTGAAAGAGACCGTCCACACAGCAAAAGCGCAAGGAAAACACGATCTGCTTTTCCGTAAGAGAGGCATCCACATTGACTGGACGCTCCACACTGATTGGACGCTCTGCATTGATTGGATGCTCTCTCGCATTTCAGTTGTGATTAATCTGGACGGAGTGGCCACCAGGTCACCTGTGTTATTTCCTGGAGGCCTCTTCTTTCGAAAGAACGCCCTCTTCTGCGTCCACACACGCCTTTTTCCAAAAGAGCTTTTGCGGAAAAGGCTTCTTCCACGTAGAATGAGGTTTATCGCCGTCGGAAAACCCTCTGCTCTTTCAACTGTCTGTCGAAAGAACTCAATGGCAGTGTGGACGCAAGTATTGTTTTTCCAGAAAAATTCTGCCGTGTAGATGCACCCTAAATCAGCGTCTGCTCAGGCTTTGTCTCTGTTACAGTCTAAGGAAATGAGTTTCTGAGACCCTATTGAATTTCTGTACATCTGGATGGTTCTCTAGTAGCGGCACGATGACCCCTCAAGCTACAGGATGCCTCAGTTAACTGCTGAACTTAGAAACATAACTGAACAGCAGTTGTCTGTCAGTGAAGGTGCGTCTGCCCTGCCCCCAGTGCTCAAAATAAGCTACACAATTTGAGCTACACAATTTGAGTAGCTTATTTTGAATTCATTTCAAAATAGCTTGTTTTGAAATTTGGTGCCATCCATGCAGCACGTCTTGCGAAAAGGATGGCTGTTCCGAGAGGTCCCTTGCTCCCGTGGAATGGGGTTTCCAGGGACGTCGGAATAGCGAGCCCGTTATGTTTTGCAATCGACACCCAGCGTGCTCCCTGCAACACGGAGTGGCCCTGAAGTTTTAATTGTCAAGTGGCAAGCCAGTAACTAGCAGAACATCAGCTCCGCAGCATCTGACTTCAAAGTGCTCATGCGCAAGTGATACGTCAGCCCAGTCCAGTAAGCACAGGCCACGCTCTCAGAGCAGGACTCGCGTCGGGGGGGAGGCAGAGCCCTGCCCCCGCAACACGAAGGGCACACGGATGTTTCCCTCTCTTTGCACGTCCCAGTCTGGGAGCTTGCCCATGGCCCCCAGCAAGGTCACCCCTCTTCACACAGGGCAGGGAGGGGGGCAGCTGACTGATGGCTTCGGAAGGGCGTGAAGGGGAAAGAGGAAAGGGTGGTGAGAAAGGGAACACATGTTCCGGGTTTGTGTCTCCCTCAGGGCAGGGAAAAGCCACTTCCTGGATCGATGCAATTAACTTCATTGGGTCCCCTTGGAGCGCACACTAAGCAGAAGGGTCAAAGTATGGAAACACGTGGTGTCCAGGGAACGCTCCCTCTCCCGCGGCTCACAGAGCAGTCGCCCCTTCCCCTGAACATTCGCTGCTGTCCCCCCACCCCAAACTGGGCCCCCGCTCCTGCCACTCCGGCCACTAGCACCGCACCAAAGCAAGACAGGCTGGGAGCCGCTTGCTGGTGGAATCGGAAAGGAAACCAGGCTCCAGAGCAGGAGCCGTTTACTAACCGGAGGCCCTCTCCGTCCAGGTGCCTGTTCGAAAGTCTTGACCGTTTGCATTTGGGGTGGCGCCCAGGCAGCACTCTGGGGAACCTGCCTGCTCTCTGCCCCCAGCCCCGTAGGACAAACAGTCCTGTGGCTGCGTGCTTTGCTGAACCCACGGCCTTTAAGGGTTCAGGGCCCCCCCTCGGGTGGATGCTGATACACATGGGTCGGTGGGTTCAGAAATCCCAGTGCTGTGAACTTGGGGGGATTCAGGCTGCGCTCACCCTAGTCTGAACAAATAAATGGGGGTTCATTGAGCAGAGGGGGCTCCTGGAGACAGAGGCCACGCAAATCTCGTCTGCGCTGCAGAGAGAGCAGCACGAGCCAGGAGAGACATCCCTCGCGCGGTTTTCGTTCTTTGGGGGGATGTGCATGCGGCATCGCGGCGACGTCATTCCCAGCGCTCCCGACGTGCCTGAACGATATGTTCTGTGCCCGGCAGAGTGCTCTGTGTGCTAGGCAACTTCTGGTCTGCCTGGGACGCCCCAAGCAGCCTTCCACCACTCCAAGAAGAGCGTTGTGCCGGCTGAAAGCGTGTCTTGGGCATCCGCCAAAGTCGGTCAGAAGAGCATAAGAGCAGCCAGGCTGGGTCAGCCCAAAGGCCCATCCGGCCCATGTCCTGTCAGCCCACGGTGGCCACTGCCAGGTGCCCCGGAGGGAGGGAACAGAACAAGTGATCCCTCCTGTCCCCCCCTCCCAGCCTCTGGCAAACAGAGGCCAGGGACACCCTCCCCGCCCCTCCCATAGTACAAACTCCTGGGGATGCCCCTCTCCATTCTGAGAACTGACCATTTATTCCGACTCTGTCTCCTGTCTTTTAACCCGGTGCCAATCCAGGAGAGGACCGTCCCTCTTCCCCATGGCAACTCACTTTGCTTCACAGGTTCATCGGGGAGGGATGGAATCTGAGCACACTATATCCAATGGATCCCCCTTGCCCACGTGCATCTTGGCCCCCTCAAGGGGCTCTAGCAGATTGCTGAGGCATGATCTCTCTTTACAGAAACCGTGCTGACTCTTCCCCAACAAAGTATGTTCATCTCTGCGTCGGACAAGGCTGTTCTTTTTCAGCCAGTGTGCCTGGAACTGAAGTCAGGGTAACTGGCCTGTAATTGCCGGGGTCACCTCTGGAGCCTTTTAAAAATTGGTGTCACCTTAGCCGCCTGGCCCAGAGGCTGGTTTAGAGGATAGCTTACCCCCCGTGCTCAACAGCTTTGCAATTGCCCATTTGAGTCCCTTCAGAGCTCCTGGTGAATGCCGGCTGGCCGGGGACGTGTCGCTGTTTCATTGATCGGTTTGTTCCGGAACATCTTGTAATGACCCCTCAGTCTGGGACAGTCCCTCGGATTCGCTTTGCTGCCCCCGACTCCTCCCG